TGTCTTGTTGTCTTGAGTGAACTAATTAAACGTCGGCGCCGATAAGGGCGAAATCATCCTGGATTCCTCCGCGCGTTGATAATGATGCTGGGAAAGGTTAAGGAGCGCTTTGCGTTTTGTGCTTTTTAAACGTGACCGTCACGTGAGTCATGAGAAGGAGCGCTCTGCGTGTCTGCCCCAGGTACAGCTAATGTTGGTCTAGAAAGGGAGACGTAGGTTCAAATGCAGCCTGAACCGTGGACATCCTTTGGGATGTTACTCGGTTTCTCAGCCCATCCTGTTTCACAGGGTTGTGTTGTGGGGGTAAAATGGAGAGATCCCCATGTTATCTTACTGGGGCGCCTGGAGAAAAGCGACATTCACATCCAACAAATCAACATGGATGCTGAGTGCCTGTGGCTTCTGGTTTTACTGCATTGTTTTAAGAAAGTCTGATGTGGTGTGTAACTTGTAGCTTGCCTTTTCTTCCTCTCTGGGAAGAGTGCATCACAAGTGGGTTAGTGGAGGTGAGGATTACAACCGTGTTTGGTCATTCCAGTACAGTATGTTGCTTTTCCAACGTTGTGAGGTAGGAGTGGTTGTTCTCATGTTTGTGTTAGTTCGTGTTGCTGCAAAAAAAGCATGAAGGGTTTTTGCTTGTTGTGAAATAAAACATTAAAGGTGTACTTGACAGCCAGAACTGGCTTAGCTCCCAAGGGAATATTTATTGTGTGTAAATTGGAATGGACTTCAGATGTGACAGCAGATTTGTGGGAATGGAAATATAAGAGATTTATCTTTGATAAACCACAGAGCAGATCTGTTTTACCTCTTAGGTACAGGGCTATAACATTCCTTATTAAACATGGAGTTAGAATATTATATAATTACAACTGAAATCTTAGTAAGTACTGTAGAAATTTTCTGTTTCTGGCTGAAAAGTTTAAAACCCTGTTACTCCACAGCAGGATACCACTAAAATAGTACAGATCTTCTGTCTTTTTCCTCTCAATCTATAAAAAAACTACATGAGTTATATTCATATAATATACTACTAAGCTGAAAAACTTGAGTAATGGGCATGTCTGTACCAGACTCTTAGTCCTGTCACAAGCTCCACTTGTGAATACAAAGCAGGCACCATTTTGGGTATTTGGATATTTGAAAGGGCAGCTGTTTCACGTTTATATGACATGCTTATCTATAAAGGTTGGATTAACTGAAGTGCATAACAGGTAAAATAGGCTTGTGTGTCATACAAGCAGCAATTATCAGAATTTTTTTCCCATACTAAGCTTCTTTTTAGCATTTACTTTACTACCTTATTGCTACTTTACTACAAGATAAGTCAAGTACGGTTTCTGAAACACATAATTGGAGGATAGAGTGATTAGACGCATACAAGTGTATTTGTCCATGCATACAAGTGTATTGGTGTGGTTTGTTGTGGTTTGCAAGTAGCCCTGTTCTCTTACAAAATATGTTAAGTACAAGTGTGTTTTAAAATTAAAGGCATCTTCAAAGGCCTGCAAGGTATGACCTTTCAAGTAATATTGGTCTTTCTTGTATGAGAGCAGTAGGCTGAAAGAAATGTTAGAATGATGTATTATTTTATTTCATTATAAATTTAATAGTGTTCATTTTGTTACTTTATACAATGACTTTGTAGGGTGGTAGTAAAAAAGAACTCAGAGATAATCTCCATTTCACATTGATACAGTTGATTGCAGTGAATATATTTGCTTTAGTTCTAGTCTTTCAAAGTAGGCTTTGACAAGCAGAAATAAACTGCTCACAGGTATGATTGAGGAGAGGTAGAGTTTTTATTTCCTATATATTTGGGAAGCAATTGTAGGAAAAAAGTGTACAAACTGTTTACAGTCGTATATAGCAATTTCATGTATATATTGCATGTACATCCACATTCAAACTATTTTAGGCTATAAAAGGCTATAAATTATTGGGGGGTACCCTGTTGTATGTTCCCCTTTGGCTTTTTATTCTTTCCAGCTTAACAGAATATTGGAAAGAAATTATGCAGTTATGCTGTTTGTCCATTAGCAGGATTAATTTTGAAAGGTGAACATATTTGGTTTATGGAGAGAATCTAGCAAAAGAAAGATTGAGTTTGAAAACAAAGCAGATAAGGGCATTGGCTGCAGAGATAATTGAAAAAAAAAATCCCCAGTCCATCCTATGAGTAGCAGCTCTGGATGCTTCCAGTTGCTCCATTTTAAGCCCCATCCTTCCCAGTAGAATTGATGATATACAGCTTGTCCTGTGCTTTCCAATGGTGAAAAAAGCTAACAAAAGAAGGTTTGAGCTAAAAAATGGGCTAGATCCTGCAAGAGCTGGGGAGAAAAAACAATCCCATAAAACAATTCCCCAGTGCAGTTCTACAGGTGAGGCAGTTGAGCAGTAACTTGGAGGCTGCCCATTGCTCCATTCTTAGCTTCCTTTCCTCTTCCCTCCTGCTTACTCAACTCAAAGTGGTGCTGCTATTAACAGGTTGGAAAGAATTCTATGTTTTCCTTACCTTGTTCATATGTGTTCAAGATCTTGATCTAGAAAATTAATAATTTTCCAGTGCCCCCATTGTGCTAGGCTCTGCGCTTCCAGACTGGGACTGCAGAGCCACCTCCGTGTCCACAGATGAACTGCACAACAGTGTGTCTTCTTTGAACCCGAAGGACTACCACTCTTGATTTTAGAAAGTTATCTCAGTTTATAAATGTATTAACATTTAAGTTATAAATTGCTGCAGGGTGGTTAAAATGAACAGTATTTTTTCTTCATAACCTGA